GAAAGAAAGAAAGAAAGAAAGAAAGAAAGAAAGAAAGAAAGAAAGAAGCCAGTACTGGGCTGACGGCTCAACTGGAAAACTGGACTTGAGCTCAGTGTCTATAATCCATGTAGAAAAAAAATCCAGGCATGGTAGAATCTGTCTGTAATCCTAGTGCTAGAGGTGGAGACAGGCGGAAGCTTGGGGCTTCCTGGCCAGCTAGCCTAGCCCTTCTGGCAAGTTCCAGATCCGTGAGACTCTGTCTCCAAAAAAAAAAAAACAAAAGGAAAAAGAAAGAGTAAATGCTGCCTGACAAAGTACGCCTGAGTTTGTCTTCCGGCTTCCGTATGGCCATGGTCACACATGCAAGCACATGGCACAATACACACACACACACACACACACACACACACACACACAAGGCAGACCCATGCTGGCAAACTCCTGTGTTCTCAGTAGGGACAGACAGACAAGGGTACAAAAGAATTAGAATCCAAGGTTTGAAGCTAGCTGAGTATATGAGACTCTGCCTCAAAAATAAATAAATAAATAAATAAATAAATAAATAAATAAATAAATAAATAAATAAATTACTTTTTAAGTTTAAAGAGATGAAAATGTTAACTACCTAATTTTTATCATTATACCTTATAAACATGTATCAAAATGTCTTAGTAGCCCATAAATTCAAATAATTAAAATACTTTTTAAAATCCTCCACTCTTCATTACCTCAATTCTTCTTATACTAAGCTCTTTTATTTGTTTGTTTACTTGTTTGTTTTTGGTGTGTGTGAAGCTGTTTGAACTCAGAGCCGTGTACATATAAACCCATGTTCTGCCAGTGAACTACATTCTCATACTATCTCTTTACAAAAATCTGTTCTAGTCCTCTGCTAGGCCTCAAAATGCTACTCCTGCTCATCACACCATGTGTCTTTATTTACTTTCACTTTCTATCTTGCCTCTGTTTACCTATTCACAGAGCATATTCCTGACAATATGCTAGAGCTTCCTTACAAATTGCTATAGCTTCTGAAACTGTCTCTCAATAGCACCAAGGCACACAGACTATCACAATATAGTGGCCTTGACTTGCCCACCTATTTCTCTAAGTACCCAGAAGCCAAAGTCTTGGTTGTGGCCATCAACTATAGAAATGACACATCTCTCCAAAATCCCTTCATGAAATTCAGAGTCCACCATTGTATTAGTCTGGGTTCTCTAGAGAAACAGAACTTACAGAATGAAAACACACACATATATATATGGAGAGAGGGGGATATTTATTAAAATGATTTACAGCTTTAATTCAGCTAATCCAACAATGGCTGCCTATGAATACAAAGTCCAAGAATTCAGTAGTTGCTCAGTTCTCAAGGCAGGAAGTCACAACTGGTCTTCAGTATACACTGGAATCCTGAGAAAGTAGACTCTAATGCCAGTGACAGAATGGATTTCCTAGCAAGGTGAAGACAAGCAGGCAAAGAGCAAAAGCTTCCTTCTTCCATGACCTTTTTCATAGGCTTCCAGCAGAGTATGGTATGATAGCCCAGATTAAAAATGTGTCTTCCTGCCTCTAGATCTGAATTAAAAGCATGTCTTCCTACTTCAAGTTAAGCAAAAACCCCTCCCAACCATGCTGTCCATTTTCAGGTTTTAGTTCCAGATGGAGTCAAGTTGACAACCAAGAATAGCCATCACAACCAGAAACTAATATGACTCCATCTTAACATGACTACCTCTGCAAAGACCCCCTTTTGAAAAGAAAGTCACATTCACAGATTATCAGGACTTAGAATCTCATACTTTTTTAGGGAACATATTCAATTCCCATTTCCCCTCTTCCAGGATTTGGTTTATCACAGGCTAAGATGACCCAATTAGACTATTAATAAAGAAAAAAGACTGTGCTGGATGGTTTATGTCAACGTGACACAAGCTAAAGTCCTCTGAAAAGAAGGAGCCTCAACTGAGCAAACGCAACCATAAGATCTGGTTGCAGGCAAGCCTGTAAAACATTTTCTTAATTAGCTATCAACGGGGGGAGAGCGCAGCCAGCTGTGGGTAGGGCTACCCAAGGGCTGGGAGTCCTGGTTCTGTAAGAAAGCAGACTGAGCAAGCCATGAGAGCAAGAGAGTGAGCAGCATTCTTCCACGGTCTCTGCACCAGCTCCTGCTTCTTGCCCTGTTGGCATTCCTGTCCTGCCTTCCTTCAGTCTAGAACAGTGCTGTGGAAGTGTAAGCCAAATAAACCCTTTCCTCCCCAAATTGCTTTGGTCATGATGTTTCATCAAAGCAACGATAACCCTAAGCAGGACAAGGGCTACCCACAAATGGGCTCTTCTATCACACCCTCCACTGAAAGAACATTCTCTGAGCCTTGGGAAGTCATTAGGCATAAACTGACACCTTCATCCTCAAAGAACATCATCTGCAAATATTTAGTGCTGGAGACAAGGACCCAGTGAGGCAGAACGTAGCCAAATGTACTTACTAGAGTTCTTTCCATTGAGAAAGAAAATAAACAAAACATCTTATGGAATTCAGGGGTAAAGAATTTGCCTAACATGCATAAAACTATAGGTTCAACTCCTAGCACATAGGGGATGGGAGGAAAGAAGACTGCAAACAAGACATCTGCTGCTGGATTCAGAATGCTAACTGAACCATTTTCAACTTCTTTACTTACAGGAAATTTTTTAAAACAAAAAGGTAATGTAGGGACATGTGAACATATTTTAACTGAAGCATTCAGGCTTATATCTCCCTCTAGAATGAACCAGATCTAGAATTAAAAGAATGTAAAAATGTATAATCTGTACATGCTACATGTCTCTGATCCCATGCTTTTCTCTAGTAAATCCCTCTGCAGCAATCCAGAGAACAAAACATTTCTCAGAGCAATCCTTTCTCCAATTTGACCTCTCTGAGGAAGAGCAGGAGAGCATCAGAAGGTTGGAATAGGTTCCGCAGTCCCCTGTATTCACTAAGTCAGGAAAGAGGTACAGGTTAAGGGAATTAACTGACTCTTCAATTTATCTTAACTCTGAATTCCTCATATTTAGTACTGAAGAGAATGACAAAAAAAATCTGTGTAGAACACAAATAAAGCACAACTCAGTGATAGATTATATTATCTCCCATAGTAAAAACATCATTCTCAGGTGAAGATATCAGCTACCGTAACAGAAAAAAAAAATAAAACCCCACTGGCACACAGTATTAATTCTCTGCCCGCAACCTGACAGTGAAAGAGAAAACCTGGACCAGGAAAAAGGAGTCTGGAAGAGAAGGAGAAAAGGAATGCAAATCAGAGACAGGGCAGCAGCTACACTGACAGCCCAGACCTGTGCCTGGGGTCCTCCTAAACTGACCCCAACTCCAGAAGGGTCTCCCTCACCCTTCTGACAGTAACTGTTTCTTTTCGATAGTTACAAAAGTGCATAAGTGGCAGCAGGATGGCTAACCTGGGAAACACAGAATTCCTTTTTCTATCTACAAAACATGAATTTACAAAAAGGTTAACTGATTTATGCAGTCAGTGTTAGTAGCCCCAGAACTGAGGCCAGCTCCCAAACCTGCCATTCAAAGAAGCATGAATAAAGTTATGCCTTCCTCAAGGCTGAATAAACTCTGTAAACTATCTTACTTACAAGTTGCCTGTTCTAGCAGATATAAAAGGAATCATAATTATTTTAACTCAGTTCAACAATGGAGAGATGGAACATAGGTGAAATGCTTGGTTTTTCTAAATTAGTAATTCAAATCTGATTTACCACAGACTACAATAAAGTTTTGATTTGCTTATTTCAAATTTATCTCCTCAAGTTTAGCAGTATCAACATGCTTATTACAGAATTTTAAATTCAACCAATTAGTCCTTAAACACTGTATCTGATCAACAAATTTTCCTATCGTCTTACACATGCACCTATTACAAAACACAAAGTTTCAATTACATGGTTTTTGGGTTTGTTCTGACTGCTTACTTTCTCAGTGCTAGGGCTCAAACCCAGAGCCTTGCCATGTAAGGTTAACACTCTAACCACCAAGGTACAGCCTTGAGTTAAATGGATATAAATTTAAATTCTAAAGACAAATTTTGACAACATCATCTGAAGCAAAAAAATCCAGTGGTATTACATTATCAACAATTATCATATTAACATGCACTCTTAACTAATCATTTCTAGATAGAGACATAATAAAATCACTGTCCTACCTGTGTGAAGTGGATCTACTCCATGACCCATTTCCCTAGTGCTTCCCTCAGTAGGGCAAAGACTTGACCTGCAAACACCTGGATCATTCTGTGACTGTTCAGCCCCCTAAAAGAAACAAAAGCAAATTCATTTTAGTGCATGAATTAAATCTAAGTTCCCACAATTTTACATAATAGGCTCTGATCAGTGAGCTGCCAGTTTCTACATATCTGTATTAACAATTGGTATTGGGGGGTGGACGGTTCTCTTCCAGAACCTAGAATCTCAAGTTGGAAGCCAGCCTAGGATATATAATAAGTTCAAGGTCAACCTGAGCTACATAGCAATTCCAACCCAGCCAGAGGTATGCAACAAGCTGTCCTAAGAAAGCGAGTGCTCACAGGTAGAACACTTGCCTACCAAGCACAAGGCCTTGCATTTAAACTCCAGTACCACCAAAGGAAAGTTGAAATAAGCCAAATACTCCTTAACTAATGGAGGACATGTATAAGACAGTAAATGGATACAACAGAGTATTGTTGTTGTAGGTGAAATGAGCATTTTCAAAGATATCGTTTACTGCTCAGAATCACCAAATATGTTGCCATTTTATTCTATGTGGCAAAGGGGGACTCAGAAGTTGTACTTAGTTAGGGACTTTACAAGAAAGTCTTACATGATCCAAACGAATCCAATCTAACCAAATGAGTTCCAACTGCGAAAAAACACAGAAAAGGGGCAATGTCCAGTGCTGGCTTAAAGATAGAAAAGGAAATGATAATGACTTATAGAAGCTAGATGTGCAGCTGCTCCATCCCAGGAGAATATACTGAAGGATCAAGAAATCAGACAAGTAAATGGATTCTTCCCTAAAACCTCCTAAAATAAACCTGGGTCTTACCTTGATATTAACCCAATGCAAAGTATTGCAGGTGGTGATTTAAATGAAGAATGACTCCCATGGGCTCATGCATTTGAACACTTGGTCCCCCAGTTGGTGGTGCCGTTTAGGGAAGTTTAGGAGGTGCTGCCTTATTGGACAAAGTGCATCAGTGGAGATGGACCTTGAGAGTTCACAGGTTCACCCTACTTCCGCCCACACCCTGCTTTATGTTTGCATTTCAGATGTCTCTCAGCTTCCTCATCCTGCCATGTGCCAGCTGCTTGCCGCCATGCTTCCCCACCGTGATAAGATTCTTGTCCTCTGGAACTGTAAACTCAAATACATTTTTCCTCCTATAAGTTGATTCTAGTCATGCTGTTCCATTATAGCAACAGAAAAAATAACACGTGTACTTTGACCTGCTTGGCTGAATAATATTCAGATGTGTGTATATACCCCATTTGTTCATTGTTTATCTACCTATTGATGGATTCTTGGTTGTTTCCACATTTTAGCTCTAAAAATTAAACAACTCATTTCTGTTGATTTAAGGCCATAAACCCAAGGTACTATGTTACAGGAGCAAGAGAAAACTAGTATTTCAGCAATAAGAATAAATTATTACTGACACATGATACCCCAGTCTCAAAAACATTATGCTACAGGGCTAGAGAGATGGCTCAGAGGTTAAGAGCACTGCCTGCTCTTCCAGAGGTCCCCAGTTCAATTCCCAGCAACCACATGGTGGCTTATAACCATCTTTAATGAGATCTGGTGCCCTCTTCTGGCATGCAGGCACATATGCAGGCAGAATATTATATAAATTATAAATAAATCTTTAAAAAAAAAAAGTCTGAAATAATTTTATAAATTACTTCTGTATTTTTCTCTTTAACCACTTTAATCTCAAGTTTCAACTCATTGAATCAAAAACTTGAAAGAACACTGACTAGACTTTTTATTACATTTATTAACTGTGTATTCTGCAGGTGTGCATGGGTGTGCACACATACGTCACAGCACACATGTGAAGTCAGAAGACAACTGACAGGAGTCAGTTCTCTCCTACCACCCTATGAGTCCTGGGGATTGAGCTCGGGTTTCCAGGCTTGGTGGGAAGTGCCTCTACCCACTGAACTGTCCTACCAGCCCACAGGTAAGACTGCAGAGCTTTTCTGTAAGAGGCTCCACCTCTTCCTTGAAAAGATTTTTTATTTCGTACTAACAAAAGGCCACATTATTATTTCTAAGAATTTTGGAAGATTTTGTTGGAGGCAGGTAGAGAAATCTTAATCCAGCAACATGGCTACTCTGGCAAGGGATTATATCCAAATACCTAGGTCTGTGTGATCTCAGGCTGAATGCAGACATGCCCTTAGTATACATCTTTTACCCCAAACAAGGACATCTAAGTGAGGGGCAGACAACATGACAAATCAGAGAGAGATCTGACAGAATGAGTCAGAGACAGGATACACACAACTCCCACAAGAACAGACAGGAAGGAGAGGTTACTTAAGAGCAACACAGAGGAGTGGAACTGAGTTCAGTACAGTTCAGTTGGGTGCAGTTCGGGTCTTGGAGCTCAGAGGCAGTTTTCCAAGCAGAACAATTCAGTGAGAAGCCAGTCTGAGCAAGTCAGTGTGGCAAAGAAGTTTTGAGCCAAAAGAGCTGAGTTGAACCAGCCAGACAGAGTTCAGAAAGAACTAGAAAGTGTGAGCTTATTCAGCACTAAGTCTCAGAGGCTGAAACCTTACAGGCCCAGACCTAGGAACAGTTAGACAGAAATGCTTTGGGATTTAGAGCTTGGATGCAGCTCTCATCTCATTCCCGTAGCTGAGGAACTAAAAACAACATTTACAGAGGCCATTGAAAGTTCTAATATGCAAAAAGGTTTCACTTTTTGTTTAATCGCCTTTGAGTCAGTCTCACTATGAAGACCATGCTGGCCTGAACTCATTATGAAGCCTAAACTAGTTTTGAACTTATGGCAATCCTCCTGCCTCAGCCTTCTAAATCCTTAGATTACAGGTATGAGGTACCATACTTAGTTTTAGGCAATATATATCTTATACTATGACTCCCTTCTTTTATTTACCTGAAATGGTTTTATATCTGGACTCACCCTTGTAATCTCTTTATTCGGACTTGTATTACTTCTTCCTGGAGGTATGAACTTTGGTTTTTTAAAGGAATTTCCCTGCACCTGACTTGGTGCTGCAGATCGTCTCAT